TTTTCTTCCTGAGCTCATAACTATACAAAGCAGCAGTTACATATTTAAGGGTAACATTATCCTTACCATGAAGTAATGTTGTCTCAAGGTGCTCAAATTCATCTGGAAGAGATGACAACAACATCAAGGCCAAATCTTCATCTTTGAAGGTTTCATCCATGCCCAATAAGCTTACCACTAGCTCATTGAATGCAGTGATATGTTCATTCATACTGGTGCCTGGTTGATAATCAAATCTGAACAATATTTTCTTCATGTGGAGACGATTCTGAGAGCTTTTCTTTAGGAATTTTTCCTTTTATGCTCTCCACATCTTACTTGCAAAAGTCTCGTTCTTGTAGCCATACTTCTGCTCCCTGGAAAGACAAGATTGAATCGTGTTGCACGCCAAACGATTGATTGTTCCCCATTCTTTCTCCTCCATATATTCGGGATTTTTTCCCTCAATGACGATGTCTAGGCCTTGTTGGAATAAAGCGTCTAACACCTCGCCTTGCCACATGCCAAAATGATCGGATCCATCGAACAACTCCACTGAGAAATTTGCATTTGACATCACCCTCCTCACCAGTCCAGATGAAGAGCTTGATGTCTCAACTGATCCGTATTTTGGCATTTTAATTCTAACGAACAATATTCAATATCACGAAATATATCTTTTCAGCAACGGAACCACTAGGATAACCTCAACCCAAGCTCTAATGCCAATTATTGGGAAAATCAGGTTATTTCCCACACGAACGTAGTTTCAAAATTGACCTAAAATATCAAGATCAAAACCACCAAAGGTTACACAACGGATAAACCTGTCAAACTATTAAATATTGAAACACAATGGAAAAAACTGAATAAAAAATAATAAATGAGAGAACACACCAAATTTATGAGGTTCGACGAGAATATCGTCTACTCCTCGGGCACCACACCGGATGATAACTTCACTATCAACAAATATTACAACAAATGAAATTCTTTAGAATTCCCAAAGTGAGAGAATGAAGAAAACAAGAGGAAAAGAAAACTTGTTTTGGGATGATTTCTAATTAAATACTCAGGCCTATTTATAGTTGAGTTTTAATGACTAAACTTATAAAATAATCTAATATTTTAGGGACCAAAGATGAAAAATAAGTTGGCCACCTACCAAAGAATTTTTTAATGTGTACAAATTAGCCACCAACCAAAGAATATCGGGATTGTCTCATGAAATGCAGGTTAATATACGGCGTTACCGGATACATTATAATATATTTAACAAATTCGGTTTAGCGCTACCAGAAATGTTGAGTAATAATAATGTAGTAGGTCTAAATCATGAAGAAATATTAAAAAATTTTGCAACTGACAAACTTAGCTTGTCGGTTTGTGTCGATACAAATGAAAAATGTATCGATCTATAACAATATAACAGGTAAAAATATGACAAAACGGTCTCAAAATGACAAAACCGGTAAAACGCTACCGGATATGTTGAAAGTGTCGATAATTTAATATAAGTATCGACACTTTCTGAATTTAAAAGAGAAGAAGTTATAGCGCCTAAAAAGTGTCGAAATTTTATGAAAATGTATCGATCCATAATATTATAACAGCTAAAAATATGACAAAACCGGTCTCAAAATGACAAAACAGGTAAATAACTACCGGATATGTTGAAAGTGTCGATACTTTAATATAATTATCTACACTTTTGGAATTTAAAAGAGAAGAAGTTATAGCGCCTATAAAGTGTCGATACTTTAAAAAAATGTATCGATCCATAACAATATAACATGTAAAAATATGACAAAACCGGTAAAACGCTACCGGATATGTTGAAAGTGTCGATAATTTAATATAAGTATCGACACTTTCTAAATTTAAAAGAGAAGAAGTTGTAGCGCCTAAAAAGTATCGACACTTTATGAAAATGTATCAATCCATAACAATATAACATCTAAAAATATGACAAAACCGGTCTCAAAATGACAAAACAGGTAAATAACTACCGGATATGTTGAAAGTGTCGATACTTTAATATAAGTATCGACACTTTTAGAATTTAAAAGAGAAGAAGTTATAACGCTTATAAAGTATCGATACTTTAAAAAAATGTATCAATCTATAACAATATAACAGGTAAAAATATGACAAAAGAGGTCTAAAAATGATAAAACCGGTAAAAATATACTAGATATGTTGAAAGTGTCGATAATTTAATATAAGTATTGACACTTTTAGAATTTAAAAGAGAAGAAGTTATGCGCCTAAAAAGCGTCGACACTTTATGAAAATGTATCGATCCATAACAATATAACAGCTAAAAATATGACAAAACCGGTCTCAAAATGACAAAACAGGTAAATAACTACCGGATATGTTGAAAGTGTCGATACTTTTATATAAGTATCGACACTTTTGGAATTTAAAAGAGAAGAAGTTATAGAGCCTATAAAGTGTTGATACTTTAAAAAAATGTATCGATCCATAACAATATAACATGTAAAATATGACAAAATCGATCTCAAAATGACAAAACCGGTAAAACGCTACCGGATATGTTGAAAGTGTCGATAATTTAATATAAGTATCGACACTTTCTGAATTTAAAAGAGAAGAAGTTATAGCACCTAAAAAGTGTCGACACTTTATGAAAATGTATCGATCGATAACAATAGAACAGCTAAAAATATGAGAAAATAAGTCAACATAAAGTATCGACACTTTTTAAATCTGTTTCGATACACTTGTTCAGACGAGGTGTACGCATAAACTGTCGATACATTTATAAAAAGTATCGATCCCAATTCAATGAAACCGATAAATATTAACAGGTTACAATGTAACCGGTAAAAATATATCGGTTAATTAGCAAATATGTATGCATTATGTATCGACACTCTTTAAATATGTGTCGATATTTTTTTCCAAAATGAAAGCACAAACAGGTGCACGCGTAAAGTGTCGATACATTTAAAATTGTATCGATCCCAAAAATATCGAAACCGATAATTATAATGTAATAGGTTAATTTACAATGTAACCGGTTGAAATTTACCGGTTTTATGAGAAAATAGGTCAATATAAGCGCTACCTATTACATTATATAAGCGCTACCTAATATATTATTGTACTTGATAATATTTCCGGTTAAATGCCTATTTTATTATATAAGTGCTACCTATTACATTATATAAGCGCTACCTAATATATTATTATACTTAATAATATTTTCGGTTAAATGATATAACATAATCTGTCTAAATTTTAATCGATCACTTCTTTAATCAATCACATTATTTTTTAACCGTATTTTAGACGCCGCATATCAAAAATACCCAAAAATGTCATATTTGCCAACTTTCAATTTTATCACCTTTCAACTTTTCTAATTTTTCAAGCCAAACATAATACTCTCCGGCTCCTCGACCCAGCTCGCTATCTTTATAAGCCACCACCAACACACTATACATACAAATACACTTGAATTTTTTCTCTTTCCACACTCAATGTGAAACAAAACAAAGCCTTAATATATCTTCAACCCAGATATTGTGTTAAACTCTTCAATCTCCTTTATATATTTTTACTTTTTTTTATTAGAGATGTTAGTTTCAAAACTCATAGACCAACAGCTTGTTTCTTTTGTTTAGTTTTCCTGTTTATGTTATTTTCCGATGTATGTACATATTTTGATTCAAAATAGCTATGGATCGGTGTAAACATAACTACCCATTTGCCCAGGTTTCTTCTTTCACATTTACTTTTAACGTTTCAAAGCCTTTTGTTCTTTTCTGGGAAAGGTTAAGTATATTGTTTAAATTTCGTTTCTTTTTCGCTTTGGTCTTGTTATTTGTTCCTTTAGGATCATATCAGAATCTTGCTTATGATTGTTGGGTTACTTGTATTTACTTTGGATGTTATCGTTTTTTTATACTTTGATTTTTTTGTTTCTTATTTCCCCATGTCAAATGCTTTCCTTTGCATGACTTGTTAATGTTGCTTAAATTAGCTTTAAATGGCGAATTATGTGTGGAAAAAGGGATCTCGAGTTGGCGATCCTGTTGTAAACTGCAGTGCATTGATGTTTATCAACAGTTTTATGTGTTTCTCTATTGAGGGGTTCTTTAGGTTTCTGTTTCTGTTTCCCATATCTGCATTAATGGGGTTTCGATTTGCTGTTTCTCTTTCGTCTGGTTAAAGTTTGAATCTTTAAGTTGCTTGAATCCCTAACGATCTCGGTTTTCTTCAGTGGTGGAGGGCAAATGATTCATCCACTATACAAATCGGTTTTCTTCGGTGGCGATCTGTTAATGCTTTGGTTGATTTCACTTTCTTAGACAGACATTCTTTCATTGAAACCTGAGTACTGATCTATGTTTCCATTTTCACCCTCATGGTTTAAATTTCTTAGTCATATTCTTTTTGCAGATGGAAACAGTGATATTGGATCCTAATTGCAACCTCGTTGAAGAAACGTCTCCCAAGCTGTTGCTTCCCCCGAATTCTCCTGATATAAGTGAAATATTTGGTGATCCACAATTAAGTCCGAGAGTTGGCAACAAATACCAGATGGAAATTCCTCCCATGGTAACAGGAACTGAGCATCTTTCGCTTTTGATGGACCCTGTTGACCCAGATGGCATTCCTTATCTCGCTCATTCCTTTCTCTTAGGCTTACCCCTGCCTGTCATGTGGACACGTGATGAAGATATCGATTACGGGGATGAAGCTAAAGGAGGTTCATGTAAGGTCAATGATGGAACTAAGGTGGATGAGTGTGTCAAATCTCGTAAGTGCAAAAACGGACAGAGTTTCAAGAGGAAGATAATTCTGAACTAAGTCTTGAAGTGTCCGATGCAAGGAATGTCAATGGAGAAGAATCAAATTCGGAAAATCTTGAGTATGGAATGACAAGTAAAACCAATCTATTTCGACCTTTTGAAGTTAAAAACTCTCATCTAGTTCCTGGCCTAGCAGGTGATTCCTGGAGCTGGATGCAGCAGAAGTGGATGGTTTTCTTCTTGGTTTGTATATATTCGGGAAGAATTTTGAGCACATAAAACGATTAATTGAGAACAAGGACATGGGTGACATATTGTCATTTTATCATGGGGCATTTTATAGGTCTGATGGATATCGTAAGTGGTCAGACAGACAAAAGAAAAGTCGTCGAAAAAATATATATGGATGGAAAATATTTACTGGCTGGAGGCAACAGGAATTGCTATCTCGTTTGCTTGCTCATGTCCCGGATGAATTACAAAATAATTTGCTGGAGGTAACCTGATTTATCACTCAGATTTTATTTAGAAAGAATCTCTATGTGTTTTTCTGTTTACTATTGTGGTGTCTAATGTGTTTTGCTGTTTATTGATGTCGGACTTCGATTTTTTTTATGCTAGCTTCTCAATATATTTTACTAGGAGTATAAGATTCTCAGACTACTCGTCTATTGGCAGGTATCTAAGTCATTTTTAGAGGGGAAAACTTCACTCAAAATTTATGTCTACCATCTGAAGACTAGTGTTGGCTTATCTGCACTTGTAGAAGCAGTAGGTATTGGTAAGGGGAAAGCAGACCTTACAGGCCTGGCCATGGAGCCTCCGAGGCTGACTCAAGTTTCCCCCGAAATACCATCTGGGAAGGCTTCCTCATCTCTTACATCTAGTGACATCATCAGACTTTTAACTGGAGGCTTTCGGTTGAGCAAAGCTCGTTGCAACAATATTTTCTGGGAAGCTGTTTGGCCACGTTTGCTTGCACGAGGGTGGCATTCTGAGCAGCCTAAGAATCGCTGTTCTGTCAGTTCCAAACATTATCTACTTTTTCTTATGCCGGGAGTGAAGAAGTTTTTGAGAAGGAAACTTGTTAAAGGAAATCGTTACTTCGATTCTGTTAGCGATGTTTTGAGCAAAGTTGCATCTGAACCAACACTTATTGAGCTTGACTCTGAAGGAAATTTTACCAGGAGCTGCAATGAAGGAAATGGGTGCATTCTCGGGGAGTCATCGGATCAAAGATGATCCTGCCTGTAATATGCCTAACTGTCTCAAGCCCTGAGTCTCTATTTACAGTTCTAACCTTATGAAGTTCACGGTTGTTGATTCCAGTTTGATCCATGGAGGAAAAGCATCCAAGATGAGAGAACTAAGATTTTCACCAATTGATTTGATGTTTACTTCGAAATCAATTCACAAGGATGCTCAAGATTCACCGCCGGTAAATGTTAATCATATGCTGTCAAAAGGTGATAAATGTGTTACAAATGCTCGCCATCGTGAGGGTATAGTGGCTAGCTCTACTGCACAGCACATAAAATTTACCACCGTTGATACCAGTTTGCTCCATGGAGCAAAACCATCCCGGGTCAGAGAACTCAGATATTTACCGTTTAAGGTTGAAATTTCTTCCGAAACTAATAGTTTTTCAGGAGGAAATGATGATAATTTAAGTGATGGCTCTTCTGATGAGCATGAGCGAAAAACCGCAGATAGACTATCTAATCATGGTCCAGTTGCCACTGATACAAAACCTATTAGTGAGCCAGTTGCTGCTGATAGTTTCATGAAAGGTGAAGGTAAATATGAAAATGACATTTCAAATCAAGATATGAAGAACTCGTGTACCGCAGACCAGAATTTGTTGATTCACCAAGACAAGAAGACCGATACATCAGAAGATGCCAGGTCAAAGAGGATAATAAAGAACCATTTCAGTCGAAGAGCTAAATCAAGTCCTTCTGTTAGCTTGGTTACCCCGGAAAAACGAAAGAAATTAACTGCTTGAATTTACAAAGAGGAAAGTTGCCTGACCGAGAATTTAGCTACTGTGTCTATTAACATAGCTTCTCCAACGAAACGAAAAAAATTAACTGCTTGTGCTAAGTTGGAGGGGAGTGATATTGCTGAGAATAACTCTAGCAACCGAATTAATTTAGTTTCTCCGATGAATAGACCAAGATTAAATGCTTATGCTATGACAGAAGAAAGTCATGTGACCGAGAAGTTTTCTGCTGGCATTGATGAACAAATGGGGGTATGCCTTGCCTCAAATTCTCAAGATGAAGGCAGCAATGATGTTCTCCATGTGAGTCATTTCCAAGAGAGTATCGATTCTTAGCTCTTCTTCCGAAGGCAATCCGGAATGCGAAGAGACTTCTCGAGGGAGTACCGAGAAGCTTCCACCCCAGTTTCCACTGGACTCTCGAAATGGTGAACCTGGATGTGCCGAAGCTGATGGCAGCCAATTCATCATTGTGAATAATTATGCATTGCTGAAAACCTCTACTAAAAGTCCGTGCGGAAGAGCAGCAGCTATTGTGAATCCCCGGAGGCAAAGCAAAAGAAGTAGACCACTGACCACTAGAGTGTTGGAAGCTCTTGAAAGTGGGTTCTTCAACGTGAAGAAGACACAGAAAGTGAGAGACGTTCAAGCACCGGCGATCCAATTTTCAAGTCCTTCCCGAAGGGCACGCAGTAGAGTCAAAGCATGCAAACGTTGCGGTTAAAACTGCAGATGCCAAGAAGGAAAAGATCCAGGTGGTGCATTTATTTCTTCTAAAGATATAATGAACCAACCTCCTCAAGTGGCTCACTGATATTTTACAGGATCGGTCAACATGATCATGATGTTTATCAGCAGCAAACTGATGTATTCATTTACAGATATTTTGCCAGTCCATCTCGGTCGGATGCCTTGAACATCTACGATAAAGGAGGGGTTGAGCAGTGATGCATACGCTTATTAAATCGAGATGCACTTGTAAACCGATAAGAATCGGGGAGGGTAACCCTATACGAAGCATGGACCAATATTGCAAGTAGGGGAAGAGTTCCTGGTACTTGTGTTCATTTTTGTATCTTTTATTGAAGGATCCTTTAACAGCTTGTGCATGTAGCTTTTTCATGGTATTTTTGTCCCCCGTGCTCTCGGCCTTCAGCTTGACCTTAGAGAGAAAGTGCTTGGCACTCATTTCAAGTGATTCGCTCTTCTATAATAATTGATGGGTTTATATATATATATATATATAGGGATGGGCATGAGACTCAAACCCGGGTTTTGACCTGATTGGGTTGAGTTTTTTTTTAAATTGAATTCGGGTCGGGATCGAGTTTAAGTTGAAAAATATCTTATATATTTAGGAATAATTACAATAATACTTCTCTATATATTATTTTTTCAATTAAGTCATTATTTTTATTGAATAAAAATAATATTTTTATTATTATTTCGGGTCGGGTCGGGTCGGGTCAGATTTTTAATTTATATATTGGGTTCAGGTCAGGTATTGGTTCAGGTATCCAACCTGACCCATGCCCATCCCTATATATACATATATTATTAGGGGTGAGCAACGAAACCGAGAAAACCGAAAAACTGACACGAACCGAGTAAAACGGTTCGGTTCGGTTCGGTTGCTTTAAACGGTTCGGTTTTCGGTTCGGTTTAAAGGTTTCATTTTTTTTGATTCGGTTCGGTTCGGGTTTTTCATATGGAACCCATTTGTTCCATATTGAACCGAATAGGTAATTTTTGTAAAAAAAATTATAGTTTCAAGTGATTTTTTCATTGAAAAACCGAACCGAACCGAACCGAAAAACTCGAACCGTAAAAAAATCCGAACCGAACCGAAAAAACCGGTTTCGATTTTTTCGGTTTTTTAACTATTCGGTTTCGGTTTAAATATTGAAAAATCGTTTATTTCGGTTCGGTTCGTTTTTAGTAAAAAACCGAACCGAACCGAATACACCCCTATATATTATCACTTCACGAGAAATAAATTTATATATATATATTTTTTTATTTTTTTCATTTCATTCATATTATGTATGATAAAGTTTAGTGACTATAATTAGAATTAGTTTAAAAATATGATTTCATGAAGGAAATTAGAATAAACTTAAAGAGATCTTATTTATTGAAAAATCGTTTATTTCGGTTCGGTTCGTTTTTTAGTAAAAACCGACCGAACCGAATACACCCCTATATATTATCACTTCACGAGAAATAAATTTATATATATATATTTTTTTATTTTTTTCATTTCATTCATATTATATGTATGATAAAGTTTAGTGACTATAATTAGAATTAATAGTTATAAAATATGATTTCATGAAGGAAATTAGAATAAACTTAAAGAGATCTTATTTATAATTTATTTAATGTGAAATTCAAATTTGAGATTCCGATGTTTTTATTCTTCAACCTTGTAAAAGTAGAATCATATTAAAATCTCATTATCTCTAATTTTCAAATTATCTTTATTAAATTAAATTAAAATACGTGGCAGAAAAATATAAAAAACTATAATTAACCCCAAGAAAGTGGGAAAAGAAAGCCAAATGGACTATTTTGAACATTATTATCCAATAGATGCGCGAAAATTAATACTGCAATTTACACCAGAAACTCTTGCCCGCTAAAAATATCTCCGATGTCGGTGCTTACTGTTGCTTTTCCGATTTCACTCTCTTCGTCTGTAAATCTATATATTCAAACCCTGTTTCGAATCTCAACCCAAATCCCAACACCATCTCGGCTCCATTAGATTCTAGACCTTTTGGGTGTTTCTAATGGCTGAGGATGAATGTAATGTATGCCAAAGACCTCAAATACGTCAATCTCGTTACAAAAATGAAGGCCTTCGCCGTCGTTTCAATCAACGGCAATCCTCAGACGAACCAGAGAACTCCCGTTGACAAAGAAAATGGCTCCAACCCAGAGTGGAATTGCCGCATGAAGTTCATCGTCGACGAAGCTCACGTCCACCAGAACCTCGTATTCCTCGTGTTTTCCCTCAAATCGAGCCGCGTGATCGGTGACAGGGACATCGGCGCCGTCCAGGTCCCCGTCAGGGAACTGCTCCGCCAAACCAACGGCAACCACATGATTAACCAGAACGTCAGCTACAGCGTGGTGTCGCCCGAGGGAAAATCGAGAGGCATCCTGAATTTCTCGTACAGGTTCGTGGGGAATCTCAACGGCACCGTTCCGTACCCTCAGCTTCCGGGGGCTGTACAAGAAATACAAGGGGGAAGCCCTGTTTTGGCGCTTGCGTCGCCGCAACACGGTGATTCGTATCCTTATCATCCGCCGCACGGGATGTGCATGTATCCTTATCCGCCATCGCAAGGGATGAGCATGTATCATTATCAGACGCCGCACGAGATGAGCATGTATCCTTATCAGCCGGCGTATGGTTACCATCAGGTCCCTGCACCAGTTTCAGGCTATGGATGTCGACAGCCGCCACAGGGCGACAATAGTAAACCTCCAAGGTACCGATCTGTAAATGAGGATATTTGGGTTTGAGTTGAAATAAATCTATGATTTTTTTTAAATGCTCGAACCATGTCTTCAATCACTAACATCACTAACGCTTGTAAAATCAAATAAGCTTGGAATCAAATTCCTTGGTTATGCAATCTCATCGTCATCAAGTTCCAACATTTTGTCAAAGAGGATTTCTAAAATTCTTGATGATGATTTAACCAAATGTATTTTTAAGTAATTTAACATTATCAAATATTTAACAAAGCAATCTAATATATTCCAAAATATGCTTTGGTAATTTTATATATCTCCATAGGTACATTCTATAAATCATTTAAAATCTCCTCTTACCATTCATTCATTCATCATATAACTATTCTTTTTATTTCACCATTTTGCGACAAAAAAAGATGAAAAATATGAACAGTTTAAGAAAGTGATAAAAAAATCCTCACAGCTAACATAACTCTCGTTTACACTTACATATAATATGCATATAGAAGCGATAGTTATTACCTTTCGATAATCGAGTTCGAATACTGAAAATTATATGCACATTTAGGCCCGTTTGGTTCAAGGAATGTGGTATTACTAGGGGAATGAAATCCTCATTCACCCGGTTGGTTGGTCATTAATTCCATTCTTGGTAATATTTTATTACCAACAGTGGATTTTTTAAGGTATATTATCGGGAATGTGACTACCACCTTCCCTTATGTATTATTGGAATACCGGCGTTTTGGACTAAAATACCCTTAAATTTTTTTCTCAAAAATATCATTCTTCTGTCGTTGAATAATAAAAATTTTACGAAGGTTAAATTTAAAATTTATCCTTAAATTATTTTAGATTTACAAAAAAAAATCTATAATTAAAATTTTAAATGAAGTTCAGAGGTTAAAATAAAATTTTACACTTTCATTAAACATATTTATCTTTTCAATTTTATAAAAAAAAATATATAAATTTTATTAATTTAATTTTTTTAAAGAAAATATATAAATTAATTATAGTAATATTATAATAAAATTTAACTTGTTAAAAAAATAAATATATAATAAGGACAATTTGGTTAAATATACATTACAATAATCTTTTATTCCTTTAATCAAACACGGTAATCTTACATTCCTGCTAAACCAATCAAACACAAAATATAACATTCCCAGTAATTCTATTCCCTGGTAATATTTTATTCTCAATAATAATCTTACGACCCAAACACACCCTTAGTTATCCAAGAAATTTTGAGTAATATTTTGAACTTGCCTAAACAACCTAACTTGGCTCCGTCCTTGAAGAATGCAAAAAGATTCATTCACTTTGGACATTGATCAAAGAAAGTTAACATCAAAGAATATACTGGACGACAAGTATGAATATTTATGTGCACATGGATGGATGGAGTAAGGAATTACATTTCTCTGTAAATTTAAAATGATTATATATTTTAGATTTTTTTATAAAATTTACAAATTCAAGTTAGTCCATAAGTTTAAAATCGCCTCTAACATAAAATCATGCGTTCATCCTTATATATAAATGTAATTAGGGAGAGATATTTGTTTATTTAGTTATGCCATTTTATAGTAAGTGTATCTTTTTCTTGCTTTCCAGGTTTCAAGGCTTTGCCTTGATTAATCTTATATCGATCGGCATCGCACACTAAATTCTAATAGAGAAATTCACACCCTAATCCAGATTCTGTATACACAAAAACATAATGAATACATTTTTATTCTAGAGTCGTTATAACTTAAATTATGTCTTATTATAAAGAAAATAATTATATAATCAGAGGGCTTATAGTATGACCATATGAGTATTTAATTTTACCTTGCCTAAGGAATTAGCTCTTCATCACTATGATTTGTAGATATTCACACCATAAACCTTTTATTTTTAGATAAAACCTATATATGAACCGAGTTTTGAAAATATTCCTTCTTCACCTAAGAAAGAAATTGTGTTATTAGATTTGGGTCACATAATCTACCATTTATCGGGTCAAAATGGCGTCGACTGAAAATTGCATTATTAAAATGATTTATGGTAAGACCCTTCCGATCAATCAAGAAGTTTCACCGACAAAATCACATATAAACTTGAGATGTCACTAAATTTGGGCAAATGACCATTAAAATAGGATTTTGTATACAGTAAGATATTTTTGTTGAACGGTTATTTTAACAAGAAAAATCGAGTCCGACAAACCGAGGACGACTTTGGTCGGTTTATTGGATAAACCGGATTTTGCCCTTAACTTACGATCCTCGCCGCCTCCTGCTATTCTTTTTCACCTTGATTTCGCTCCTACACGCGCGCTTTTCTCTGCTTTCACCAGATCGAAGGAAAGTTCAGAAGCTAAAAACAAATCAAAATAAATAAAAATCTTTTTTTCTCAAACTCTCTGAAAACCCTGCCCAGAAGCAGCTGAAGCAATGGACGTACAGCGGTTAGACAGAGGCGATCTATGGAAGAACAAGGTTCGCTTCTTACAACTCCAGCTCAGGCAGCGTTTCAGGGAGGCCGTTGATCGCATCGCCATTCTGTCTTCGCTGACCGTTACTTCTCCTTCACGGTTCAACGCTGGCTCCGTCGCTTCCGTGACTTCCGCCGCGATTCTCTCCTTCTTCCTCCGCTTTCTACCGCAAACGAGGTCGCTTTCCCCGCTCCAAATTCCATGCCTTAGATCTATTTATGACTTTCTTTTTAGGAAGCATAACTTCTTTTTTTTTCCAATTTTTGATCGTTTAGCACCATAAAGAAAAAAGAAAACCAAGAAGTAACTGCTAGAAAGCAAAATTATCCTTTACTCTCCCTCAATTAGGAATTTGTTTTTTTTTTAATTTCATAATTTGAAAACTTTTATATTCATTTGAATACTCAGTGTCAAAAAACTTTGAATTTTTAGCTTGATCAATTGAAGTTGCTGGTCTTGCAGTGACCAAGGATTTTAACGTGGAGGAGGAATCGGCTATTTTTCGAATGCTTCAAGCTGTAGCTGTTCCTTTGATTGGAAACGTCAGCCATGCTTTATGAATGGTCTCAATCGTGTCCAAGTATGAGATCGAAAAAAAATTTATTGTGTTATTTGCAGGTATTTCACAGTTTCTAGGAATTAATACATGTTCTCTAATGTGGCAGGTTTATGGCCTTGAAAATTTACATGACGCTTTGCTTAATAGACCCAAGAACAAGCCCCTTATAACAGTATGAACCATGGTTTTTGCTATTATTTGTTTTAGCTTTTGCCTTTTTCATCGGTGTTATGTATGGTCCTATTATTTTATGTAGCATATGCTGATGAAGGAATGCTTTTTTGCAGGTAAGCAATCATGTTGCTTCTGTGGATGATCCATTTGTCATTGCTGCACTGTTTCCTCCCAGAGTTCTTATTAACAGTCAGAACTTGAGATGGATCCTGTGTGCATCAGATCGATGTTTCAGTAATCCCGTGACTTCTGCATTCTTTCGTTCTGTAAAAGTCTTGCCGGTGTCTCGTGGTGATGGGATATATCAGATGGTATGTCTTTTAAATTTTGACATACTCTTATCAAGTATAGAACAGTGTGTGTTAAATACTGAGTAAGTTGATAACTACAAATTCAAGTACAGATGAATATCCTTGCATTTTAGAATTTGTGTTGTGCATGTTTAGAATCTTTAGATGAGGGACATTCAACTGAAGAAAGTGGAAAACAAAGAGGATGGAAATATTTTTGCTTTTGAACTTCTTTAAAATGAATAGGATTGCTAATGTAGTAGTTTGTTTGGAGAGACAGTCTTCTGTTTTTTTTTAATGTGTACGTATGCTAGAGCATATTGGTTCACATGCATATTGTTAGTGCCTTGATACTTGTTTCCTTTTTCGTTCCTTGAACTTCTTAAGATGCATAGATTATGTAACATGTTTTAGGCCCGAGATATTTATGCCTTCATTACTTAAATGTGTGGCATCATGCCCATTTCATCATTTTGATTCAACTGTTGCATTGCATGGCCATGGCCATTTCAAAACTGAATACTGGTGGATGGATTCACATCTTTCCTAAAGGCAGTCGTTCTCGAGATGGTGGGAAAACAGTTAGATCTTCTAAAAGAGGTGTTGGGAGGTGAGCGTTTGAGGATAACTTCTATTTATACAAATAACGCATCTTACATCGTTCATTGGTGTTAAAGAGATAATTGTTCAATAAATTGAACTTTTATCCTATTGTTGTTTTTTCCTTGATAGTTGCAAATATCTTTAAAATTATAATTATGATGATACTGGTTGGTTCTAGATGCTGACAGTATTCCAATTGTTCTGCCATTTGTGCATACTGGAATTCAAGATGTTATGCCTATAGGAGCCAATTTCCCGAGGATTGGCAAGACAGTATTGTACTTATGCTATTATCCTTTTGCATTTCCTGTCAACTAGTGTTATGCGATATTCTTTTAATACATAAAACTTTTCAGGTGACAGTTCTAATTGGAGACCCTATACTTTTTGATGATCTGCTCAATGTAGAAGATGCCTCCGATGCATCACGAGGAAAATTATACGATGCTGTTGCATCTAGGATTGGGATTCAACTGCAGAATTTAAAAGTGAAAGTCGACAAATTAGCGCTCGAGCAATCTATTCAATCAGAAAACCTTAACAAAGATGGGGCAGAACGTGCAGCCAGTATCCTGCACCAGGTTGATTGGGATCCGTTTGGCTTAGGAAGCCATGGATATGCAGATGAATCCTCAGTAGAAAAAACCCAAGTTGAAACGAAGCTGAGTGATATCAGTCCTGAAGAAGCCACCTGATAGATATTTGAGAATGGGATTTTCTCGAGGCAGGATCGGTTCAAGGTTTTGCAGTTATATGGATCCAACTGAGTTAATGGGATTTGCAGTTAGAGGCTTGCTAATGAACCGGAGATCAAAGAAAAATTATTCAGACGTTAGTGACATAAGCCCATTGAAGACTTGGAAACAATTTTTCGAATCTAATTTGTTACTACCATGGAATACTTCTTAAAAGTTCTGTTCGAAAATGTAAA